TGCCCGACGCGTGCATGCAACAATCTTAATTTCGCGATTTCACTGATCTCGTTCGGTTCAAATCGCGTTAGACGATCACGCGAACGATATCGAGCCAGTGAACAGAGAACTAGAAGTATTAGTATTTAAACGAATTCTAATAGAGTCATTAGTCGCGTCTAATGCTGTTCGCGGATTAGATTCACCGCTAGGTAATTATTTTATGTATTCGCGTGCCAACGTTTGCTATTCTCATCCTTATGAAGTATTGACCCCGAAGCAGAGAAATGCGTTCATGTAACCTGTTTAACTACCAATTACCAAAACTACCAAAACGCGTTTTCTGCGTCTACCAATAATGGAAATTGTGTTTAATGGTTGAAAATTTTCTCGACAGTCTCGGGTTCGGGGCAATGGTTCTAATCCTGTAATTAACAAATAGTTTACGAGGGTTTACGAGCGTTTATGACATATCGTAGAATTTTCAAGGACCGTTAGTTACTCCTAATAAATTTTAGTTTCACGGAAAAGAGTCGGAAATCTCGTTTATGGTATTACATTCTTGGTATTTGTGCAAATCGTATTTCCACGCACACTACCGCTTACGAGGCTCCCGTTAGTGCACCCTAATGTGCACGTAAAGAGACGTGTAATGACTAAATGTATGACTCACCGGGAACGTGTCGTGCGGCTGGAGTCGAATGATTCGCTTCCTCGAAGTAGCTGGGGAATTAGAAGTGAAACACGAACATCGGCAATCGGGAAGCAATATACTTGTTCAATCTGCAACTAAACAAAATAACATTAACTCTTCTAAAGTATTCTTAAAACTGTGCTTATCAGTAATCTTTGATTGCTAACTTAGGAATAATGTTAGTATTCGAATCCCGAATTCCCAGCAGACGAGTTACGAATCGAAACGAAATTAAAAAGCTACGTCAGTGGGAAGTGTACGTGGGCTCGATTTCAAAACGCGACGACACGCGTTCCGTGGATTCGTGTTACGTGAACGGAAAATTCGGTGATTCAGTGGGCACTGTATTCGGAACAGTTTCGCGAAGTCACATGTATATACATACATAACGCATGCGATAGATAGCGTGAAGCGTAGGACGTCGGCTCCCCCTCAAACGGTGGTCTACATTCATTTCGTCACGATAGAAATTTTCTGTGGGCGATGTTTTCTGCTGTAACAAAAATCATTGGATCGATACGACCGGCTGCGACGACATGAGTCACGCGAGAACTTGCACACGTAACTTCGCGAGCGAAATTCCAGGTGATTGCTCAATTTCGAACAAACTTCGTGTCTCGCGCCTCGTACCATTGCAACGTGAGTAATACTGAACCTATTTGTGACATACAAGCCGAGCCTACCTATCTCGAATCACTTTCATTTATTTAGACGCGTAACTAAATTTGTACACGCACGTCTCACATGTCAACAATACATGTCTCACAATGCTTTAAGTCCCTTTCATCTCCCTCTGGTGGCCAACAGCGGAACTTAACTTCTAATGCATCTTGTAAAAATTCCAATTCTTACCGCCGATTTAGAATACATATCACAACTAATCACAAGTTTATAATAGCTTCATGAGACATAACTCTCGTTTCATAGAAATGTCAAATAAAATCGCTTCTGACTAACCAGATATGACGCCCAGATAATTTCATGTATAAGATATATAATAGGATTCAGCGAAATTGTAGAACTGTGCACTATCGCGAGGTTACATTGGCACATTTCCTCGGGCAGAAGTACGTACACAATTACATGTGTTTTTTACATTACAAAAGACAAGAGACTCACGTAACCGGGTATCTGAGACTGCAAAGAGGCTTCCGCGATATGAGAGACTGACATTCACTTCTAACGGGCGCGTAAAGCACGTGGCTAAGAGAAAACACACACGTACACGATGCAACGAGATCCTTACGTAACTTTCTGACCGCGCGCTTCAACAGTTAATTCACGAGCTTACCGTTTCGGCGTCTCTCTCTTTCTCGCTTACGTATGCACGTTCGCTCACGTTGCGTTGCAAGTTCGATACCCTAAATTAGTCTATCCGAGTACGTATTTCATTTCATTAAGGTTAAGTCAATAGAAAATACAAATAAAGACGATGTAGGAGGCTTAAAAGTAATACCGGAATATGTATAGCTGTTGCACCATGAGCTGCGTACAACCCGCCATGATCCTTCTTCCTTGTCGTCGGTCCTGTGACCGGTACGAAATTCACAATTTTTGCTTTATTTACTCCATAACTCACTTGAATTTTATTCGAATATTATTCCTGTACATGATACACAAATGATTCTAAGAAGTACTCACTTGCGGGACACTTTTTTAACACATTTTTTATGAAAAATTCACGGAGCACTTGCCAACAGAATAACCGCGCTTTTCGACACTTGGAACCCTATTCTCGAGATCGACTCTCGAATCGAATCTCGAATCGATACTACGTCAGCTGCGAAAGTTCAAACAGCTTATTGATTTATGATACCCAACATATGCTTTACTTTATTATCGATAGAACTATTAATTACAAGTATTCGAATATAAAGTATGAGTTAATTAAATGTAATCTCATTTTCGCGTCTAATGACATCGCCAAGTGTTTCCCTAGGCTATAATCGTTCGAGGAACAAGTCGCTTCTCGCATTTTCCTTTAATTAGTTTGCGTGTCTACGTAATTTCGAAACCCAATCGTCGTTTCTGCATTACGAATGCCGAAGGTTGAGTAAACAAGTATTTCCAGTGATACGGTCCATAAAGGGGCGATAGTGTCATCGTAGCACGTGGCACACTTTGCAGGGACACACGTGCTTCATTACATAACTATCACCTCCTGTTCGGATTAGTGCGCTCACACGTTCCCTCGACACAGACGACACGAAGCATTTTAAAGAGTCGACGTAGAAAGAAATTATTTGTTAATTACGCGGAAGCGCGGGTTGCTTTCATTAATGGAACGGATGCAAGATCGATGATTGAATCCATTCGATCATGGCTAGTAGGCCGTGGATTATCGCGGGTAACCGGTTCTTTTATTCAATAACGATTATGACTAAGTTGCCGCATCAACCTTTATCAGTATTTATCGCATCCGGTTAACAAGTTGCGAGTAATCATCGAGAAGCTCTAAGAACGCGATGACCGATTTGCGGTAACGATCGCAATTACACTTACATAATCGTTCTACGCGCTCGAAATTAAGCTCGCGCATACATCATTCTTTCATTGGAAACGTTTTAATATCGTAATCGACTCTCCCACTGGATTTGAGATACCCGAAAGTCGAAGCGATTGATCAGCAAGTTCAGCAACCTTGGCGTGCCCGACCTTACCCAAGGCTATTTCACGACTTCTCTTCGAACCGGTATCGTTGGCAGTGCGGGCACGTCTCTCGATCTCTCGGAATTCTTCACCTTTGCCCGTGTCCGTGTAACGGTCACGAAAATTTCACGAGAGATGCAGCGATGCCCGCTCGGTGTACACGATTTTATCCCTGGCCCCTGGCAGAGGCGATCGGCCTCGAGGACCCCGAATAATGCCGGTGTACGTTGCTGGCATTGAAAATCGTTGTATTGTACAAACGATTTAACGCGCGCACGGGTTTGAGGCAATGATCTTCAGGTGCACGCGTCGGGAATATAAATGGACTTGTTCAAATGTGTACAGAACGTGCACCTTGAACGTACACTTAACGGCGCGTGACTACCCTCCTTAGCAACCGTCCTCCGTTCCCTCTTGTTAAGATTTTTTTTTTCCCTGTAATATTTGCTCTCGTAGATAACAGCAGTAATCGGACACTACACAAATAGCGTTCATGTTTGTACGACAATATCAATCGACAAGGCAACATATATATAACATTCTTGAAATGTTTGAGATTATTTACAAAAGTCTGAATCGATACGCATCGCTCAAGATTAATCGTCTAACAATCCTCGATTAACAAGTCACGTTGTTTTTACGTTCCCGAGGCGCGTGATACGGATGATTAGTTGTAACACTTATAAGATGAATGAACAATCGTTCTCTGTAATTGCAATTATTTTCAAGGTCCTTGTTGACGTTGAATTATCAGCTCTGACGATCGGTTTTCATAAGCGTGCGTCATCGGTTTAGTTCGGACGTTTGATTATGATTCCTCGAACATTGTTATAGTTACATATTATACATGTACGCGATGCGGTGTGTGTCACGCAAAAGGAATGACCGCGTTGAGTCACGACTCCTGAATCGCGACCGATCGAATTAAAGGCCGAATCCGGAAACGGAAGTACACTGAGGTGCGTAATCGGGAAAACGATTCAGAGGCCGAGCATCGTTAGAAATCCAGTAAGACCGTTTTTCCTTCTTCCTGATTCCGTATCGCGCGACCTTCTTTCGTAATGGCCTCACTCGTTCGTTGCGTGACACCGCCGCACAAGGACTACGTTTCGTACGTGGACAGGATCGCGAATGCGTTTACTAGACCGCGTGTTTGCGTCATTTGGGATTAACAAACGTTCCATTGAATACCTGGAAGGACACCGCGTCCAAAACGGGCAGAATTCGCGGTCGAATCACTCGATCGCACTCTTCGGCACGATTGTTGCAAACAAAATGTTATTGCGGATGTAGTCCAGAAATAGCAATTTTAATTCACCGAAAATGCGGAATCATTACGAACAAACAGTTAGCAAATATACATCTACGATGGTAATATTCCAGTCTATTCGCGCGGTACGTGACTGGGCTGACATATCGCCGAGCCACGCTACTCGTCATCGTAATCGCTTGGCACGCAGTGCTACTTTCGTCACCACTGTTAATAAACTCGTCCCGTGTGTTGACTCGTGAATCGTTCGCCTTGCTATTTGATATTTGAACCGTAATATACGAACGTATTAATCCGTCAAATTAAATCGCACGCAAAAACCTTACTACATTCATCGCAAATACTCATTCGACTTCGTGAACATTGATTTCTCAAAATTAATTCACTTTTCGTCTTTTGTTGTTGCAGATGTACTAAGAAGACAAATTATGGTGGCAGAAATTGTCGCCCGTCAGAGTGGATCGCCCATCAATGGTGAGACCGCCTGCCTGAACAGCAATATGCCGGCCACTCACACTATGGCGCATCACGGCGGCCACGGGGGTCACGATGCCCACGGACCGCTGCCGCCCCTGACTCATCCGGGACACCACGGTGCTCCCTTGACCATGCAGCAACACCCGCAGCATCAACCCCAACACCAGCCGCCGCAGCAGCAACCGCCGCAGCACCACCACCACCACCAGACTCAGCAGCAACAGCAACAGGCTCAACAACAGCAGCATCAACAACAACTCCATCACGATGCCCAACAGGTGACACATCCTGAAAATTTCCCCCCGAACTTCGACATCAGAAAAGAGCTATTTTCTCAGCGCAAGCAACGGGAGTTCATTCCGGACAACAAGAAGGACGACAGCTATTGGGACCGCAGGAGACGCAACAACGAGGCGGCCAAGCGGTCCCGCGAGAAGAGGCGATTCAACGATATGGTACTCGAGCAGAGGGTGATGGAGCTCAGCAAGGAGAACCATATCCTCAAGGCGCAGCTGGATGCGATTCGAGACAAGTTCGGCATCTGCGGCGAGTCTGTGATCAGTACCGAGCACGTGCTCGCCGCGTTGCCAGCCGAGCCACCGATCAGCGTCAAGAGGGCGAAATTACCAGCTTCGGCGACTCTTTTGTACGCGAGGACTCCGAGCCCCGTGCACACCTCCGTGATCCATCAACCGGTCAGCGGAGCCCGATCACCGAGGTCGCCGGCACAGCTCTACGGTCCGGAAACGACCAGTTATCCCGAAACAGAGAGCTTCCAGTATCCTTACACTCACCCGGCGATGCACCTCGACACAACGAGTGCGTTAAATTTGTCGCGCGGTAGACGCGCCCAGTCACCCTATGAACTGTCATCCGGAAGCGGGGACGAGGGTTCACAGTTGGTGGTCAGTTCGCAAAATACGGCGAATAATAGTTTACCTCACAAGCTGAGGCACAAGTCGCGTATCGGCGACAAGGATGCAGCCAGCGCGTTACTAGCTCTTCAAGGTATCAAGCAGGAACCAGGGCCAAGAGCGTCACCTCCCTGGGACAACGAGGGTTCCAGCGACGAACGCGATTCGGGAATTTCTTTGGGCGCCGAATGGACCGGCCCGAGCGTGACCACCGTTCCTGAGAGCGAGAGGGAAGTGAAATCGAGGCTGGACCGTCTGGCATCCGAGGTGGCCTCCCTTCAGTCGATGCTTCGCATCGGCAAACCAGCGGAGGGTAGTCTAGTTTCGGGGCACTCATTACAGGCGAATGCCAGCGTCAACGGGCCGTGAAACAAACCAGGGAAGTCAGCTCCTTTCTGATTTTCTTGGAGCACGCAAACGGTCCAAATATCGTCACTTCTCGAGTCGTGGCCCTTCATGCGATGTTCGAACAAATCCCAAAGATCCCCAAGGTACAACGGATCGGACAACCACGATGACAAGGGGATGAGACTTTATAAACGTACAATCGATCGTATATCGAGCGAATGTTCCAAAAGTGTGATGGTTATTGGTTGGTAGTAGGTCGTATGATTTCTATTTTTTTGTACGATTCGATTTGGGCCGAGCCGAGTCGATATGAGAGGGAAAATGTATATTTTTGAAACGATCACTACCGACTTAACAGTATTGGATCCGCTTGTATTTTGGTATCGGCCATTGTCGCGTGAAACAAATCGTACGCGGTTTATCGATCGGATAACGGTTAAAGGTCGACTAGGCGAGACTTGTAAAAAGAACGGCGAGAGCTTTATCCAGTGAGCAAAAGCTATTCGATCTTAGATTCGAAAACGAGGGTACGATTATGTTTTTTCTTTACCTTTTTGTTCTAAACGTCGCCCTGTATCGCCAAATCTATAATCCCTACGCTGTCCACGGTATCGTAACCACTGATCTCTATAAAACACCGGGTAGTGGATTCGCATGAGTGGCTTGCAAGGTCATCAACTTTGCAATATATCACCATAAACGGATGAAACTTCCAATGTTCGACGAGGAAAAGCCTCCTCTTTAAAATGCCGTTTGACTCATCTCTATCCTACTTTCGATTCCGGAGATATCATCGTGCAAAGACGAGCATAAATTTTTCGGCGCCGCTATTATTGTCCTTTTCGCACGTTCACCGACGCACGGACCTACCCTAATCTTCACCAACCGATCTAAGCACTCAGCTGATACGCGTATCTAGGTCACTGTGTCAATAATATCAAACGCTGCGCCTAAACTTTAGAAGCCTATATCTCCGGAACGAATTCAGATATTGGGATTAATCAAAAGTGGCTATTTTCGTCTTGACATTCTCTATCAACTGAGAGTTTTCTGTAAAAAATTCTATGTCCTTGTATCGATAAAATTACGTTTTTATTAACTTGTATAACTTTTTAGAGCTCACTGATACTGAAACTAGCGATCAGTAACGGGAGCATACATTTTACTCATTTATTTATTATCGCGCATGATCATTTGGGTGATCTAATATTTCGATTAGGATCATTATTATTAGTACGCATCCATTATTCAGAATTCTATGGAGATCAGTAATCGTAACCGATGAGCTAGATGATAAGGAAGATGCGATATCCTAGGGTATAAGTAACTTATGCTGTAAGACTTTGTTAGGCTACTTTCGTTTAATTATTGTTATCATTATCGTCACTAGCGAGTTCATTTTGCTGATTCGAATAATCGTACAGCGGTCAATCGAATATCATTGACTACTGTACGCTTCTTAATGAGCAGGGAAACGACGACGTCGTTAATTCGAAGATCTTTGGACGATTCGCTTTTATTTATATTTGTTAAATGAAAACTTCGAATTCTATTATTCGTCAAAAAATTAAAAAAAAAAATAAATGACTTCAAAGATCTTCCGGTTAACGGGCCTCTGAAGTTTCTCAAAAATTGTAAAAACAGGAATTAATTTTCCGATTGATAATTGGTCGCGCAACCGGCTATCTCACTACCGCCAGTTATCCTTAACGATTTAATAAATCTTCGTATTATCGTTCGCGATCTCTTTTCTCAAAAGCGGTGTATCGATATCGTTCGCCGATCGCTGTTTTCGCGGTGCAACTTTGGTACGCAGCTAACGGTACGAATTCCCCGGAGAGATGCGAAGTGTTTATTGGTGTTCCAGCTTCTCGTGGCATGGGCATCAATTTCGGTTTATTTTTACGGCAGACGATTCTTCGAGTCGTCGTCCAAGTCCTTACTCAATATTTTCTCCTTGAAATTCGACCTTGCGGATCGATCAACAAACAACGTGAATTTCCACTCCGCAATATCCAATTGCGCCTCGAATCATCGATCGTGTGCGTGTCGTTTTTCCAAAAATTTTCTTCGCGTGTAATCGATCGCGTTTCTTTGTATCCCATCTTCTACTTATTTCGTTTCTTTCTTTTTTTTTATACTTTTGTTAAGCAATTAATGTGACAACGCGTGTACATATGTACGTATATAAGCGAAGAAAGGATGCGTGTGTACATTTTCGAATTTTGTTTTTTCGTTCGTGCGATCGTCGCGAGGATCGGCTCGGGAAAACGAGGCGCCGTATTACGCTATTATAATTTTCGTTTTTCCTCGTTATCGTTCTTTTCTCTGATCGTCGAAACGAAAGGTGAACCGGATACCGGACATCGCGCGGTATCCAAAGTATTAAGCGAGCCTATAGGCGTTATGTAATATATAGTGCACATACGCAAGGAGTATACATACAGGTATATACAATATACATACGATATATACATATATATATTTTTCAAATTAACGTATTTTTCGATATCGTGAGAGTATAAGAACAACGGTCTTTGTTAGCACTCGCTCGCGCGCGATCTTTCATTCGATCGGTTACGGAACTCATATTTGGATACAAAAAATATTAATTATGAAAAATGAAAAATCAGTGAAAAGAATTACTTTTTTTTTCAAAATTTCTAACAAGCGTCGGAAGCGTCGACAGATGGATACGATTCAATAAATAGTCAAAGCGATGAATCGTATGACTCGTGTTTCCCTATTAATAGTGCATCAATACGATAAGAAATTATTTAATTGAATATCGCTGTTCATAAAGCATATCTTTATTTATTGTTACTAATCGCCTGTACAGAGTCATATGAAATAGCGTTTGGAGAAAAATCATAATTTGTAAGACATATGCGAAAGATGTGGGCAAGCATATGTATCCGTTATATGTTTCTTTTGTTTTAACCATCGATGGTCTATATTAACGATTCTTACTGTTTCCGTGGATCATGGGAAACATTCGCGCCGACGACGTATAATCGAGACGAATGAACGATTCAGCGTAATATTCGTTACCTTGAACGCGACCATCGTGCTAATTTCGGTGTCGATCGATCGTGGACAGGAGGCTCAAAATTCTTAGTAGAGTTCTTACGAACGCATCTCTGAGCAGATTGCAAATTCGCGGCGTTGTTTTTCAAGGTTTCTAACAAGAGACATCACAAGACTGTATTTTAATCGTCCTCGGTGTTATTCGCAGAACGAAGATCTCGTATCCACGTTTACTTCTACCCTGCGTCCCTTTCTCTTATTCGCTTGTCTTTTTTACGTTACCTCCCTTCGCGTGAATTTTCTATATTTTATACGGCATGTTTGTATTTTACTATTATTGATAATTTTCTGCGAATGATCGCCGAGAACGACACTCGATGATGAATTAATGTTTCTCCGTTTTTTCTCGGTCGCCGCTCAAATTTTCGCTCAGAGTGTAAAAGATAGTGCGTCCATTGGATGAACATAATTCTTTCTCTCTTCATGTGATTATTTTGTTTCTCAAGATATTGAGTCTCCATGGCTCGATTATTCCGGAATTTATTGTAACGTACCACGAGTGCCTATAATAGCGACGGCGAATATTGTACACAGATTTTTTAACAGTCTGAGATTAAAAGCACAGTTTATTTAGAGAGGATACCCATGTACTTTGTAAATAATGAATTAACTCGCGATCGTGGGGAAGCTTTGCCGTATGCGTACGCGATGATCATCGCTTTTAATCACGAATATTATTTGACGAATAACTTGCCCAGGAGAAAACGTTACCTTCGATCACATAGCGACCATGAATCGATATTTGTACATAACTGCACCTTTCTTTCGTTCTTCGTTTTTTTCTTTCTTTTTTTGCCAAAAAGCACGCTATTCGTGCCGACGAAACTATTACGGCGCAGATTATCGAAGGCGTTTTAACGAGTATCGGCCGGAGAAGGAACTTTTAACAATGGTAACAAATCCTTGAATCGTCGTGTTTCTTCTACTTGTACCCCTGAAATAGCGTATTCGAGGACGTTTCGAATATACAGTTCCTATACAGTATGGTAAAGCGACTTAGAAACTCGGTCGGCCGTTGTCCATGATTTATAAACATGATTCCAAGACGAGTTTTGATCCTCCTTTCTCCGGCTGCACGGAGATATAAGTATTTAGATCTAAGGGACATATCCACAGCGTGTAGTGTACTTGTATATGAATACCGAAATAAATATTTTCAATGTTTTTGACAATACACGACAATTTGTTCTTTCACTACCCCTTGACCCGTGTACTATAGGAAGAGAATAAAAGATATTATAAAAAATAAAAAACAATACACGACAATTTGTTCTTTCATTACCCCTTGACCCGTGTACTATAGGAAGAGAATAAAAGATATTATAAAAAATAAAAGATACGATATTTGTTTCTAAGAAGACACGTATATATTTTATACGAAGTAGATAGTAAAAGAACCACGCATTAATAAACAAAAGTATGTTAAACTCTACGATAGTATAAAACATACAATTGTCAAATAGTTCATTGAATTTCAAACGAAAAAGATATCTATTGTAAAATGAAAGGAGCATCGATAAATCTAACATCACTGCATCATGCAAAAATCGTATTAATTTCTTTCCGAAACCATGCCCGCGGAATATTTCGATTATTTTTATTGGCAATTCAGTGGATAATATAACAGCTCCATTGCTTCCCCTTTTAATTTAATTTATTTTCGTTTCTTGCATTTGGTTCTACCTCGACGCCTGCGTGACGAATTGGGACGAGCATCGGTCTTCTTCGCTGACCTTTAAACAACACACGTATCACAAGTATGCAACAACAATTAAAATTACTCTCGCTTACCTATGAACCCTGTTCACTGACACGGAAGTGTGTTTCTTCAGTGTCAGGTGTTGCTGTACCAATTCCGCCAATTTGCCTTGTTGGGCTAGCATCGAAAGGAAAGTACAGATAAACTCATCGTAATTATGCGTTCTACGACAATCATCGATCTGAAAAATAAAATATAAAATAATCTCCAGTGCAGGATACTCTTTGCGACCCTTAGTCAAAGTACACTTACCTTGTACTTGTTCCTCTTATCGTTCTCGTCCTTCAGACTGGTCTCGCAGATACTAATCTCGTGTTCCAAATTCTTCAACAATGCCAGAAGGTCTTTAGGTGCGAACGTGTGCGGCTCGAATAATTCCGGATATTTGGAGCATAACTTCGGATCGATCTTTTCGACTTTTTTCTCTTCGATAACGGTATCCCCGTTACTCGTCTTTACTCTCGCATGAGGTATTCTAACTTCCCCGGACAGGCAGACCTTCTTATGCAAGTGTCCGCTGTCGGAAACTAATCTTTTTCCATTTATATTAATGTTGCCGAGAGAACGACCTACTTGTGGACATAGATTTAATGTACTGCTATCGTACAGCGTTGAGTTATCGCACCACACATAATTGCAATGAAACAACAGGCCGTATACGTACTTAAACCTGCTTCGTTCTTTTCATCGCCGGACACTCTGATCACAACAAACTTCTTAAAGTCTCTCGTCGATGTCGGGCTGCATTGACCAGAATTCCAACCCCATGCTACAAAACAATGGATTTCATTCTTATTTTCACGAATACGTACGCTGCAACTAAACAATTTTGAAGTGAGCAAAGCTTTCGCTTTAAATAGAGAAAGAGCAAAATATGTTCCGTATTTTTACGAAGTAGCGATTTTAGTAACGTAATCATATTACAGTAATATTTTATAAGTAAAGGACAGGGTCAGATAACTGTATCCGAAGGTGCTGAAGAAGGTAAAGTACGGGGGAATGTGCGAAAAGCAAACAGTAGCAAGCTGGAAGAATTTTAGTCAACCGCACAACGGCATAGGCGACAGTATAACGAGATGAGACTGATAGTTCTTATTTTTTATTCCATCCTGATTACGGTCGAATCGTCGAAATGTCCAGAATCGAGAAAACCTCATCCCACCAGTTGCACTGTATTTTATAATTGCGTGAATCTACCTGATGGCGGTTACGTTTGGGTGCCCAATAAATGTACCGAGGGCTTGGTAAAATAATTTTGTTAATCCTCTATAACGTTGTCGTTATGTACAGATTATAAAGTGCTTTAATCTACAGATATTTCAGCCGTACTTAAGAATGTGCGTTTTACCGGGTGATTCCTGGACGTGCGATACGCTATCAATGGAGTCGTCGATCATTACGAAGAGGTACGATATTCCTGATTTGATCGACCCGAATGAAACTAGTTACTTGGGATCAACAGAAGATCCTGTAGATTTTTCTGAACATATCGATTCGTCAGATACTACTGATAGCATTCCCAACGATTCAAATGAAGACATGGCAACTCCATATCCGTTGATCGAGATTCCAGAAATGGAAGATAAATACGAATTAAATGATAATAATTGTTCGACGAATGATATCCGAAAAGATAATTTACAAATGAATGTTAATAAGAAACAGTACTCAATGTTAAATCAATTGATACGTCATCTACTAATTTACAAAGAAATTACTATTCCTTTAGAATTCTTGGCGTCGTCGTCGTTACCTACGCCATCGAAACCTGTTTCGAATTTACCGTTGTCTAGTTATCTTATACAAAATTACATTCAGCAAAATAATAATTTGCAAAACACTATTATAACTGGAACGAAATTGCAAAATGAAACCGAAGGAAGTACAGTAAATGAAAACGATAAGAAGAATTCATTATCAGTTATAAAAGGCGATACGTCAATGTCTAATAATTTACAAACTGAGGACACTATAATTATGATTACCGACAACGTGGGACACAAGCAATACTTAACTAAAGAAAAATACAAATTATTGGGCTACAATTTGGACCCGGAATACGTCCACATTATTCCGTGCACGAAAAATGTTCGAATGCCAAATATGACGGATTGTGTTAAGTATTATGTATGCGAACCGGAAATGGCTTTGGTGATCGAATACTCGTGTCCTTTGTTCACTGCATTTAACAAACACGCGAGGACGTGCGATATAGAAACTTATGGTAAATGCAAAGAAGACAGAAACATCAAAGAGACAATAGATGCTCCTATTAATATTTTTCAAACGAACGTACCGAATAAAGAAATATGCATGGAACATGGGAAAATGAAAGATCCTACGTCTGAATCGCGATACTACATTTGTTACAATTCGCCAGATGATTCACAGAATATTAAAGCTATCCGAATGACATGCCCTAACGACCTAATATTTTGTCAGATTAAGAAAGTGTGTACGATCCGACGTCTCTGTAAAACATGAAAAAATCTTTTTACTCACCCTGTGTCGGAGAATTAAATGCAGAACCAATTTCGGACGACGTATCTGTACTGGATGAGCTGTGTGCTGGTGATGTTTGAATTCTAAGAGGAGTAGCATAATCCAATGCGCACATTACCACTTTTTCCATACCACTGAAACATTGTCGAATAAATGTAATTTTATTTTAGGAATAAGTCATTATTTGGGAAATAAAATATACATTAATATATATTTTTTTGCGTACTTTGACTCAGCCTTTCCAGAAGCTATACTCGAAGCCGGCTCTTCGTTATCTGTTGCAGTGTCGCTACATCTTTCTACAGTAATAGCTGGTAGTGATGAAGATTCGTCAATCTCTGACTTAATAGGCATTCCATTATCGTCTTCAGTTTTCTTTTTCTCATGGAACTTATCCGATTTCTCGAAGTCACTTGAACCCTTCTCTGTTCCATCTTGGTGACTCAATTTAACGAGTTGTTGTAGAGCCTCTAACACTATTTGTCTGTTAGTTTTCAGCATAGTTAATTTGTGAGAAATAGCGAGACGTCGATCAGGGACAACAGCCATTAGATTAAACCTTATATCTTGCAACTGCTCTCCAGTTGCCATCCCTAAACGATCTGTGATCACTCTTCTAAATTGTTCAGTCCATTCTTCGTGTTCCTTCCACGGACCATGATCCATAGGATATGGTTTCAAACCATCCAATTCAAATAATCTACCATTAATTGGTACATAACTGACAAAGTGGAAAGCCTCTCCGGTAAATCTACCAGTTGAAACTCCAGTATTTTTATCCTGACGTCTCTTAGCTTGAGGCATCGCATGCGAATTATGGGCACAAGCCAATTCAGGTGTGTTACCAATTGCCCAACCTTTATTCTCTGGACACATACCAGAAGTATGCATCTTTAATCTGGATAAAGTTGTACCCAAATGAATGTTTGGGCAATTGAGTAACACAGAGAGTAGGGCATGGGTCGCACAGCTATTAGGCACAACCTATAAAATCAAAGATTATTCAGAAAGTAGGTTCTTGTACATGTGAAACAATGCATATCCTTACAGAAGTAAAGTCGAAGTACCTGTTGTGCAAAAAATATGTTGTTGACAATTTCTTCATCTTTCACAAAGCTCTCATCTTGCTCTACAACCTTGCGCCTGGATCGTCTCTCCTCTATCCAACGAAATAGAAATATAAAACCGTATACAGGACCCTCTAATGATTTTTGTAGATCATATATCTCCTCTACTTGCACTCCTTTCACTCCGAAGTCTTCCAAAAGCAATGTAAACAAACCTGATAATTTAAGTTACATGTAAACGTCAATGTCGTATAACAATAAATCATTGTAGACGCATTCGGATGTTTCAACGATACTAATACTGTTCACCGAAATTTCACCGTTATTTTATACCTGGGTCACTTTCTAGTTCTAGCCAACCTTCCGTTAAACGGTTTATGTCAACTGGCATTCTGTGTTTAATTCCAAGTTGAACACTTGAAAAAATATTTCACATCCTCTTGCGAATATTTTTATGCACCATCAAGGCACATCAAGGCCTCATATTGCACCGAAACACATATGTGCAGCCTGTGCAGCAAAATGTGCACATATGTGCATGACCACGTATACGTGATTATATAGAAGAAAGTTTAAAGAAGATTGAAAGCAATTTTTTATCTTTTTCTTATGTAAATTAATCTATCAATAATTCAATGTATATCGCCTACGTTATTCTAGAGGGTGTAAAAAATTGCAGACCGGCTTTGGGGTCGAGAGGTCCTACGGCTTTCATTGTGTAGCAGCCCAACACTAGCACTGCTTTCATTCAGCTTGGGAAAGGAAAAGAATGAAGAAGTACATAACCTCCAAGACGAAAAAACGTTCATATATTTTATAAGTGATTTGGAAGAGTCAAGGAGTTTAAAATATATAATTATTTAGTTTAAAAGTAAATAGATTGTAAACATAAAAAAGTGACATGAGTGTGTTCAGTAACATTAGTGACGAAAACTTTGATATTCCTGATGAAAAAGATGAAGATTTCAACATTGATGAATACATGAAGGAAAATGATAGTGAAGACAGTTCTAGTGATGTACCTGAGACTTATAATGAGGAAAAGGTAAGAATTGATTTATAAAAATTTTATTTTATTTACCAGATATTAAAATTTCACAAATGTATATAGGAGAAAGAGAATCAAAATAAGGTGGACGGAGACAAGGATCAAACAAATGAATATATTGGACCAATTCTTCCTGGAGATCATAGGTTTGATAAAAAGCTCATCTGTGTTAAATATCCTGGCAATGTCATTAATCCAGATAAAGCTGTAGAAACATTAGGTGGCATTAAAAGTATTTCTACGGTACTGTATTAATCTTATAATGATAAAACCATGAAAATTATGATTTCTCTGAGATTAACACTAATGTATTAATAGGCAGTAAATACTCCCAATCGACGTTTGGAATTAAGATTCAGACCACACGATGGTTATTGTAAACCAACCTGTGGTGATCGACATAGTACCAATGGGTTTTTACTTAGGATAAGAATTAAAAAATCTAAAGTACAGAAATCGAAAGCCGGTGAAACGAAAGAAGGACAGAAGCAATCAGTTAGCAATGTAAATTTAAATAAGAATCATGATAAAAATGTGGATAGAATAAATATAGCAGAAGCACAGCACAGTAATGTAGGAGACTGTTTTCAAAGAGTGCAAACTTCTAGCTGTAACGTCTTAAATGATCCTGCTGGTCCGTCCAAAGATTTGCTTTCTGAGAACGTCAAAGATTTGCAAGATTTATCTTTAGATACGAGCGATGCGAATTTGTTAAAGAGCGGGAAGAACATTGCGCCAACATTCGATCGTAATAAATATCAGGATCTTTCTGAAGACAAAGATTATGAATTACCGAAGTTGAAAGTTTTAGCTCGGATTGATACGGAATTTAAATTTATGAGTATGTATTTGTATAAGAAAAAGTGCATGATATTTTATAATGTACCTTAATATTATTTAAATTATTATTTTCTAGATCTTTGTGATTTCCAATATTTGCCCATGACTCAAAGTACAATGGATTCAAAAAGATTGGAATGCATATACGACAAAATATATCCGAATAACATACCTCCTTTTTCCTGGCTAAAGAACGACGTACCTTATTTCTTGCCACCAGCTGCATTCAGTAGAATGGACACGATGCAACATTACGTACCGAAAACCGAAGTGAGCTCGTATCCGGACAATGTAATAGGAAAAAGCAGGAAGAGGAAATCGGGATTTTCGAATTTTATTTATTTTTCGACGCCAGAAGTTCCTACTAAACCACCGTCGGGAATAGAGACCGCTATGAAAGTGAAGTTCATTCAGAATGTGCAACTCGAACAGATCCGTCAAATTTTCGAGGAACGACCAATTTGGTCGAAGAACGCGATAATGTATAAGACTAAATTCTCTAGTGAGCGATTGAAATTCTTATTGCCGGCAGTCGCTTATTATTTCATTACCGGGCCATGGAAGATCATGTGGGTGAGACTGGGATACGATCCGAGAAAGGATCCCTCTGCAAAGAAGTACCAAACTTTGGATTACAGATTAAAAGCAATGCGTAAGTTTTTCAAACATCATACTTCGAAATAATGAGATGTACGATTCGAACGTAGGAATGAATGTTTTCACTTTACGTATGTAGACGGACTGGGATCCACTGTGAAATGTAAAAGAAATTATTCGGCTTATACGCTGCCGTACAAATCTACGCCTGCTGCGAAACAAAAAATGATGGCGCAAAATGCAGGTTCTAGCCAGGAGAGAGGTTCTAAAAAGGGTCAGGATTATGGTGAAAATGTGTACATCTACAGGGTAGGGACGATTCCACCATCAAGACAAATGTTTTATCAGGTTTGCTATAATTTCCTCGCTTACAAAAATTAAAATCTGCACATCTTATATTTAAACGGTAAAATTGTTTTGTTTAGTATTGTGATATTCTTGTAGATGAAATACAAGAAATGTTAGCAAAATTACCCGACCCATTACCTGGTACCAAGTGCCATGAGAAAAGAGGCTGGTTACCAAGTGATATCGACGTGCAATGCAGAGAAATCATAAATAAACAAGTGCGAGCTGTTTTGAGAAAGCAGATGAACATACCCGAAGACCGTATGTATATTTTATTCGCTATAGTAATAAGTTTGTCAAGTACTTTAAAAATATTCTATTTATATAGATCCCGTATCATTGCCACGGAAACGTAAGTTGAACAAGATGAAATTGAAACTTAGCAAACTTAAATTAAAAGGTAGGAAAAGGAAAAGGAAAACCGAATCGGTATCCAGCGAAGACAAAAATGAGGTACACGATGAGGAGATGCACGATGAATCTGGTATAGTTACAACAGAAAATTGATACTCCACAAATAAAAATGAATGTAAGAGCTGTGTTAATAACTAAGAAAATAATAAAATATACTTTTAAAATCCTACAAATTAAAATTTATTGATAAATGTACAGAGTCTACCTGCCAAATATCCATTAATAAATATGTTTATGTAATTAATGAATTCTTTAACGGGTACTGTTATAGACATATTGTAAAAGATTATTAGAAATTGTTTCGAAGAATGAGTGCAGGATAGGTGCAGCGACGAGACACAGTCAGTTATATTACTTCGCATTTAATATTCAATTTTGATACATGTATAACATGTACACACACGACCATTATAATAAGACAACTTCGATTTTCTCATTTATATCATTTTGATGAAAGTATGTTAGATTATTGCATCGTTCGTTCAATAAATTAAACTTTTGAATCAATCAATTTACATATAAATAGTAGGAATCGAACAATTAGATTTTCACGCTCTTTTCTGTTACTTAATTCGGTGTCTCGTGTGAACTGCAAAGGAAACGGATAAGACAGGTGCTGATGACGCGGATTCGTCCACGAGTAGCTTTAAAGGCGGATACCGGGATTGGTACTGGCCACGTAGCTCAAAAGCTCCTCAGAGTCCTCGCAGACGAAAGGTTTCTGATGGTAGCAGGCTACGTCGTGCCAGCTGATACCGTCCTTGTAAACGTTGTTCAAAACGGACAAGCAGGATTCGTTGGTGCCGTTTATATCGAACTCAGCGTTGTCCGGTTGTTTGACCCTCTTGTGACCGGTCTGCGACCAAGGATTAAAAGACCAACCCTCGGGAACCTGATTCGTCGGTGCCATCTTCTTCCTGTTCGCTGACCAGAACCATCCGTAAACAGCTTTAGGTTCTAGATCACGGCGGTTTTCGCAGCCCTTGAAGTCGCACAGCCGTCCCGATGTCCAGATGTAAGGTACATCATCTACGTAAAGATTTATTATATAAGTGCTTATCTATTTTTTTAAAATATAAATGATCTTCATTTTAATTTAATAATATTTTCTTTGTATAATATTCTGTAATTTGCAAGAGATTGTACAGTAAATATTTTTTTTATACGCAAATCAGAAACGAAACATGCATATCGTATTTAGGAAATGTTAAAGAATTTCTAATTCTCTTGTCTAAACGAGATCACAATGCTTGTAGTACATTTTGAAAGGTAAGGCGGATTAATGACTGCTAGAAATGACAGTGCAGACAATTTCGAGATCGCATTGTTCAAAAACACGTGCGCTCGAAATGATTGATGCGTTCCGTGATGCAACTATGTATGTAGGTATATGAAAAGATGAGATTCTTCAGCCTCAACCCACTTAAAAGATCCTTCGCCTCGCCTTGATAGATTCTGTTCGTTAAGTCGAGGATTCTAAGGTCTCGACAAACGAATGGAAATTGTATCTGCTACTTGCTAGTCAAATTCAATTGGTTGTATGCAAATGAACCAGTGTTCTCGTTTTCTTAAAACGAGGTTTCAAGTAAAGAGCATCTTCGAAAGAATTAGGAATTACATTATAATTTCTGTAATAAGTGGTCATAAAATTGGTATCTCTCCTTCACGTTCTTCAATAGAAAAGAGATACTAAAACGTGATAGAACAAGCGATTTAAGCAAAGACGAAGTCGCGTCTCTTCACGGCGATGGATGGTTTATTTCGAAATTTCCGAGATCGTGGAACGAAAGTTACGCCGGGTAATAAATCGCTAGAGAACCTGGATGCTTCTGTGTTCCAGTTACTGATTTTATCTCGATCCTCGCCGAACTTTCTACGATTTATGTTACATGAATGATTTGTGTCTCTCCATATTTTTGCTAACACCTGTCTGATCAGACAAAAAACAAGCTGAACATCTGCATCGATTTTCTACTTTTTTTTTAACGATCTTGAGAGTAACTTTGTGAAGATCTTGCAGCGTTAATATAAATTGCATGTAAATGCAAGAAATGCTGTAACTCGTTTGAACTTTGAGTCGCTTCTCCGGGGCTCTCGTGTAACATATACATGTGTGAAAGGATCAGAACCACTATTACGAAATAAAAATCACGCGAAGAGTGACAATAAAGAAATACGAAACGGAAGAAAAAAAAGAGTTAATTGCGATGCAATCAGGATGCAGTTTGAAATGCACAAAACCGAAGGTGAAAACGTTTCGTGATCGTGCATAAGACGCTGCTCGTGCATACCTACTTGCGCGTTAATGAATCATGTTTATTCTCGCGTAAGTAACTGTTACCGCGCGCCGCGAGATTATCCAACTACGAAAATGGGTCGTCTCGTTTTTCCTCATGAATAAACAAGTACGATTCGACAAAATTTTCATTCCTCGAAGCAGTGTTCTACGAATTGATTACGAAAGAGATTGCGAGAGATGAGTCGAAGAAAGAACCTGATTGATGCTCCCGGATGTGGCACCAAACGCTGCGAGCATTGAAAATTTTGCCAGCTATTCAGGATTAGTTTTTTCAGATTTTAATATATGTCGCTGTGAATACGTTACTCGTTTATTTTTCTATTCGAGAAATAATTTGAATAGAAATAGATGAGAATTTCAACAAATCTCATGATTATTCAGTGTTTGTCGCATGGAATAATTCAATTTATTAAATAGTTGTGAAATTTGAATAGCTTACTTTGTTGAATGAGTCTGAAGATTAAATTGTTCTCATCCTGCGACTCCATCGATATGAGATCCATACAGTACTCTCTGCAAATGTTTCTAGCGTCCAACCAATCTACCCTCTGGTTCGCGTGCGCTGGAACGTGCCCGCTGTAGAAGTAATTGTGTCCTCTGTAGTTGAATTCTTTTGGTCCTGTAAATTGAACAGTCGGAGAAATTAGTTTATCAATAATAATTCCAGTGCTCTTCAATTTCACGTTACAAGTATTCGCAAGTTCTCGTTCTTAAAAGCGTATGTCGTATCGACGACTCCTGTATCATTGACATTTAATTTAAATGAGCCAAGATTACCTCCTACAGAAGCAGACAAAAAATGAATCGTTCAGTATTGAATCGCGTTTCTATGTTCTCGCGTGTTCAAACGCAAGGTGGATCAGTAATCGGTTGTACGTGATTATGGTTCGCGTAAATGTCAACGATCTTACACTTTTTTCCCCCTGCTGTTTATGCTGGAATTCCTCTCTCATCGACGATTTACAAACGCGCGTCTCATTACGCGAGACTAGCGGTCCGATTGCGAAACGGTCGCTCATATCGAACAGTATTATAGACCGACGATGTTCTCATCATAAAGTATGACCGCTTCGAATGCATTGACAGAATTTACTTTCTGTAATTTTGTTATTCTTCTTGGTCATCCGTTTGTTTTTTTCTTCCATTATTCTTGCCATTTGGTCAAGGTAATTCGTTGCAATCAGGACTAATGAATGGACGTTTCGTTCGTTGACGAAAGAAAATTCATACGTAATCGTTAAGAAACAAAAAGGAAGGGAAACTCGTGTTACAAATAGCGGAAATAATTTCTCAAATATTATGCACCGTACAATGGACACGATCGTATACGATATCCGTAATTGTTTCTTTCATCGTTGCCTATTGTACGTTGCAGGACATTTGTGGTAGAAAAAAGGGAAATGACGTTCGACATTTAGTGTTCTACACGTGCCTACATACTAATTATGTTTACACGTCGCAATGAAAAAAGATTGAAACAAACAAAAATCTACGGACACGTCGGGTTTAAACAATCTCTTATGTACACGTGCATACTAAAATCCGTGAAATGTTAAATACTAAATATTCAAGGATACGCTGATGTCATTGAAACGGTGATCCCACTCTCGAAATTTAATTTAAAAAGCAACGCTCGTCCAATTTGGGATATTTCGTAACTTCAACGATCAAACATTTTTTTATCTAATTGCGAATAATTCATTAATTTAAATGACCGATTCTTCTTCGGAAATATACGAATATAATTGAGGCATTAAGAAGTTCGTTTATACAAATTGTTGTAACTAATTTTTGACATAAGAACGATACGTTATTTGCCGTTATAATGATTTATAACAAGAGAAACCGTTAGCATACATCGAGGAGATTGCGCGTACGAATCGGTCGATTATCATCAGAAGTTCCTTGACACAATGGTGAAACGTATCTATACGTGTGTCTCTAAACGCGTACGTATACACGTATAACGGTTTAATGAATGATGATATAACGATCGTTAATTGCGAATACGGGAAAACCGGTGAAAAGATGAAACAGAGGTGGGAGGAGCGCCGATTCTTTTTTCTCGCGAGCGTCCGGGACGATTAGATGCAAACGCATCGTCACGTGAAAACAAGGAAATGAAACTGCGAAACACGGGTAGTGACATAATCATGCTAAACGGTACTTTACTTAATTCCGTTTATTTTTATAACTAGCTGTACGAGTATTATTAGACGTACTCATACTTATTTCCCTTGCCAAGGATTCTGGAATGATGTGAAATCTTGAATCGTACGTAACTTTGTGTTTCCGTTAGTAGATCCGTCTTGAGCAACGTAATGAAATTGTGCGAATTAAATGTAAAGTATTAAACGCCGTTCGAGAAGCTGATTATCTATTGCGTTAGTTTCTAACATGCTACAAGAATAAGTTTCTAATTTAATAAGAGAACAACGTGGCTCGAACGGTGGCTTGCGCAATGTAGTTTCAGTCTATTGAAATTGATTATGCCCAAACCAGTTATTTCAGAGGTTTCAGCCATGGTTGAACGTATGTTGCGTTATGTATTTTATTACACGATCCATTACTCACAACGTTGCGAGAAGATGTGCGATGCGTATGGACGCGGCTCGGTAATCATCAGTAATCGCAGCGATGGAAAAATGACCGGGTGAATAAGAGGAAAGCGAGTAAAATTGCCCGTTGTGCCTTCTAACATATCACGGAAAAGCAAACCTCACGGTGAATGTCATCGCGTGTCTTCTGAATGATTTCCAACTAAGAATGCCTGTAATTAGTTGTTTCATTCCAACACTGTCGGCATTTATGCAAACTCGAATCTCTATAATAATGTTCATTCCTGTTTCACGCTCGTTTCACAGCCGATTAACAACATCTATTTTCACATCGAGCGTTGTGACTCTTCTTAACGAACCGAATGGAATTGTTACGTAAAATTAATGATTAATGTTTCATGTTAATCCTTTTCTATCTTGTACATAAATTAAAATATGTTATAAAAAAAATTTAAACAGTGTCTTGTCTCTGAAATTCTGGTTTACAATAAAAGATCGTCAATTATGTTGAGAATTCATTACTGAAATTTTTATGGTTCGAGATAATCTTCGGCTCAGATGTAAATGACGAAATTAATTGGAAACTTTCCGCGGCGAAAGAGCGTGAGAGAGCAAATGAATTTTCTGACTAACGTTGCGCGATGGTAATTCAATGTTTAATAAGCCGGAGATACAATGCTAATTTTTATTATAGCGGCAGGTTGAGAAAGATCTAATAACGATTGATGGACATAATTTTTCATACCGAGCAGCCAGTTATAAAGTGTTGTCACAATTATTTTTCCACGACAATTTTCAAATGATTGTAATATAAAATAAGGAAAGCGCGCAAGTGTCACATTATTTTAATAGATGTTTGTCACTGTTTGTTGAGCAACGGGAAACGAGAATTAATTACTTTCGCTCAGGCTATACGCATAACACGAATGGCTGATTTAGGGCGGAGAAAGTGGTCTTTTAGGCATCTGTCATTTTTTATTCCAGCATCACTTACGAACTGTTAGCCTATACAAATTGACTGTGTATGAGCTTGTAACAAAAGAAAGATAAGAAATGATTAATATGCGCATAGCGTTGAGAACCTTATTGTCGTAAAACAAGTTAGGACACAAGTGTACACAAACTTTCGTATTCGATCATATTAAGGGTGATATTTATTCATGAAGTCATGAGACAAGAGGTATAACAGCGAGATGAAACAATAAAAAACGTGACTGACGGCAAGTAGACTTCTCTTGAGTTTTAACATTCCAAAGTGGAATTCTTCAAACATACAAAAACCGCGAAGGAATGGAAAGCTCTCGCTTTCACGTGTCACGGCCTGCACGTGTTTCATGGCAGCGTCAGCGTCATCCAAAGATTTCAATACAGCCGGAAGCATTTAATTTATGCGAATGAGACGGTTAATATTTGCAGAGAGGCGTGTTTCTTAAAAAGGAAAGAAGAAAGCTGTGCAACATCTATTCACATGTCCTTTTCTCTACATCTTTAAGTAACTGTTCTGATCTTTTAAACTCAGTCTGTTTACTAGAAACCTTATTTGTACACCGACATCGATAACAGAGAAATAATTTTTACAGATTTCCAATTTTATTACTAATATTTTTTCTGTCAATAAGTATTTGTGTTGGGATATTTTAGAAATTATGAAACATGAGATAGCTATTAGGTCTCTATTTCTAAATTTTGTACAGAGGATCTGGCCACGTGATAAGAGTAAGGTACTTTTGTGTTACAGGATCTGACAACGAGGAGGTGGGACCATTATTGCAAGGATGTAGCGAGGATCGCGAAGGGATTATCTCTCTTCGTGGCCTGACGTTGTTCCGTTTCGCAACAATTCTTGACATTTTCGTGGCGGTGCGATGCGATGGAGCACCAGCCTTTTGTGAAGTTGTCAGTCGAACAACCTTACGAGCTACACGAGCAAACGTTGCGACACTCGATTGGTCAGCCGCACTGTCATAAGGTAAGGTAAGAGCAATTTGCTAGTTATGGACCCATCTCTCTGATCTTACACAATTCTGATGGAGAACCGTTTTAATCGTCGGTGGTTATCAGTTGTACTTATCAACACTTTACTTCAATAATTGACATTCTTTATTAATTGATCATTAAATAAAAATACTATACTCAATGTAGAGAACATTTCCTGGATATTATTCTCTTCTTTATTTGTTCTTCAATCAAATTTTCGCGCATCGTAAAAACTTGTTCTTTTTTCGCCCTTTCCGGAGGACAACTTTTACTTTGAATTAATTCTTCATCATCGAAAATTAATACGAGATATTTTTTTTTGCTCTGGATAAAAAAACATGCTTGGAGGATACGGATTTCACTTTCTCCCTCTTGATCTCCATTTCTCATTTGCGAATGCGCAACGAGGTCGATTGTATCCCGTTATCTCTTAAATACAAACTTTGGGGAAAGTTCATCTCGTCATAAGACTTCAATGTGTTTAAAATTTAAATCTAAGTATGTAGCTGCTTCTATGTCTAAATATACCTGACATATGATAGTAAAGGAAGAGTCGGCTTCGAAGATTTACTGAATGAAGACATGAAGACGAAAACAAGTTAGACGTTCTTATCGCAGATATTCCGCAACCGTAAATTTATATAATACGTATACATAAATATCCACTTATTCGGTTGTTAGCTGTGTAACGAGTTAACGCGGGTAAAATGCGAAGCTGGCGCACGGTTCGTCTCGTCACGTATCGCATTCGCGTTCGATGCACTTTCTCACGGCTAAGATGCAAAATTGAGAAACCGGCGCAGCGTGATGGTGTAGAAACGTCTCGCAATCGTTGCCGCGATAATTAGCGAGAGGACGCATAACGAAGCGGCGTTAAAGTAGAGACACCTGATTCGGGGCCAACGAGCATTACGTAATCATTAACAGGATGTTTCGTCGGCTTTGTTTTGATCAGCTTTCCGCGATTGAAATTGCCAAACGGTTTGCTATCATAATCGATTTCTGTTAGAACTTCCACCAGTTGCAAGTTTACTATTATAATTTCAAGGTGTAGATTGCAATTATCTTTTGATAAAAGGCTGGTTCATGACTTTGATGACTAGATCAACAATTTATTGTGGATTTATCTTCGTATTAATATAAGAAACGTAATTGGTTTTTCAGGAAGTTCTATAGAATGCAATTTCTAAAATTTTCTTCTCGGTTCCTAACGCTGAATAATAGATTTCAAATAGTAAATTTACTCACGATTTGCACATTTCTGCGGTACAGGAAGAGACAAGAATCTTCCTGGTCTGTTACTTTGTGGCCGAACCTCGTTTATCGCTGATTGGGCGTTCGCCAACGCCGCCAAAACTACCAACGCCAGCGGCACGGATATCATCTGCAAAATCAATTTATTCTTAATTAGTTTCAACAGTAACAAACGAGAAGACGATCAGGAATACGTTCCAATACAATCACATCTCTAAAATTCAGTAATTAATACATTGCGACGAAAATCATGGAACTTCGAAGAATAGATGAGGACAGAGAATTGATTTGAAATTTTAATTTCATAACTAGCGTGTGCAGTTGTCGTGACTAAAAAGCGATGAGACTTTCGCCGATTAAAAGGATAGACACGAAGATAAAGATCGTGACTCCGTATACCGACGCTTAGTTTTCTTGAGTCAATAAGTTTCACCTCGGCGAGTGTCAATTTCGCCCAAAGATGAACGCTAGCGATGGGATTGAGTACCTTGCAAGTAGATTCGAACTGTATATAGTAACAAGACTGCCGCTGCTGTCTTCCTCGTTAGCTGCTACATTGCGTGGTGATTGACGATGATTTTTTAAGACTAGGAATCGGGCTAATGACGGAAAGTTTCCTTACACGGTTCGATCGTAACGATTTTCGATAGAGGATCGCTTCTTCAAGGGGAGAATTAGATAACGTGTGAAGCAAGAATCCTATTACGTAATGCGATTGATAAAAAGACGACATATTTAATATAGTAATAATGAAGGATTTTTTATTTAAGGTCAATCAAAAGTTTCTGATGATTGAATCGATATTAAAACACAGTGACGTGTTCTGAAAAAATATAGGTCATTTCTGCCCCATTAGAGTAATAACATTTAGATCTAGGACGCCCGCATTATCTTTACTCCTCTCTGAGGTACAACTTTCAACAAGATTCTACAAAACAGAAGCTTGTTCCTTATACAACGAACTATCTCCCCTTTCATTGAATTAATTTGTCTGTTTGTATTCGTTACACGGGAACAAAGGACATTAACATTTGGAATGCCTCTCAAGAAGTGCGTTCATAAATATTAAAACACCTGTAGATCTCACTCAGACTGCGATCATCGAAATAAGTATTTATTCTAATTAAGAATTTCAATAGCTAGACACATCAGTTATTCAAGTTATTTCTTCATGGAAAGAAAACTTCCAAAAATATTTATGAATTTGACTTAAAAAATTAGATAATTTTGTTTCAACTAACGAAAATGATATGCTAGCATTCCGTGTAGTATAATTATTGTAAACGTTCTAATACCCGTGAATCGAATTGTATGTGTACAGAGTTTGTTGCACTCTTTCCTTTTGTCTGCTTTCATCACTCGTGCAACAATCGGTATTCCGTCGACGATTCTGAACAGGAATTCTCGACAAGAAAAAATTCAGGATAAACCACGCAACACTCTCTATCTCTCTCCCTACATTGTTTCATCGAAACACTCACCTTGTCTCACTTGTCTTTCTTTTCTTTTGCTTTTCGATTTCTTTTTTTTAAATTAAAAAAAGTATGTGGCGAAAAGAGATCGACGGTTAAAGAAGCGTACTCACTGATAGGATTATGAAGCGACGGGGCCCATCGCCGTCGATTATATAGAAAAGGTCCCCACCAGCTCGTGTGACTCGTCCCACCCTCTGAGCTGCCAGGATCCATCGGAGCTCCTCTTGGCTCGGCCTTACACGTAATTGATCTAATATAATTGGGGGTTTAGGATATTTTCTTGCTCCTCGCATGTCCTTTCAAGGAGATCACGTTCGTTCGTGAAGGGAGATGATGCCTCATTTTTTTTTTTTAACGATTTGCCATCACTTTTGTCTAATTTCTTTCTGTGAAACGGTGCGCTAATAATTGTCCATGTGGTTTTTTTCTTTTAAAAATACTATTCAAAATATGTAATCATGATGTGAAGAACATCTGTCTGAAACATTCGGATAGTCGATTTTATTATAATTGGATTGTAAATATTTGTCTGTGGCAAAATGTAGGACGACAAAGATTGAGATTTACATTTCTGTGGTCTCTTAGCGACCGGTTAGAGACGGTCCAATAATGAATGCAGAAATAACATATTTTCCTTTGATTCCATCAGATTTATTTTTCAGTGCATCTTCCCTCGTATATGCGAATATTCCTAGTGAACGTAGCCAACAAACTTTCCTTTTCACTTTGCTTGCTTTCATGTTAAAAGGACATGTTGTAAGTCGCTATTTTCAAATGTTGGCAGTCTCGATGAAAATAAAAGCGGAAAAACCAGTATTTACAATTTCCATAGGTATCATCCGAATTCCAGGCACAAAACGATTTGTTCCCTGCTCCTGTGAATCTTTTTCATCGACCTTGAGGATGCACCCGCCTCGTTAACTTTCACCATAGTAGGTAATCGGAGGTACCGACGCGACGCGACGACGCGACGTGGCGAACAGAATTGTAGTCAATGTCAGCTGCAACCCGGTCCTTAATATCGAGCCATCATTCATTTTTTTATCGAAATACTCGATAGCTGATTAACTACACGTCAAACTTTAAGGGTCCAAAAAACGGAATTATAAATTTTAAACAGAATATTATTACATTCCTAAAGAAATCATATGTATATTTAAAATTTAGAATCTGAAAGATATTTTCGTCCTCTAGACTAAAGCCTTTTATTGTTCCCACAATCTGTACTTTATGCAAAAAAGAAGAAAAAATCTACGAAACTGCGGTCATTCACGAAATGGATTTTTGAAAAGACCCATAATCGGTCAGCCATCACAGTTCAAGGGTAACCATTAACATTTTTATTGACGAACCACGTGTTATCGTATATTCACATTGCATAATCCTTTGAAAAAAGTTCGACAAATCTCCGATCTCGGCATAGCTTAGGAACATGCTCTGCGACGATACCTGTTAATCGAATCGTCCACGAGAAGTCATCGAACCACTGACCCACTTACAACTCCAAGCAGCCTTCACTGACCGTCTGCTACAAAAATGCGATCATGTCATACCTAAGAATTGACTATGAATTTAACTCACCCTCGCATTACGTTCGCATTTGCAACGAAGCCAATAACAAATCGTGAATCATCACAAATCTTAACAGATACATTTATCTAGTCTACGATAGTAAATTTTATTAGCTGAGATTTCATCAGATCGTCAAATATCTAAATTTCGCCTTGGTTTATAAACTTCAACATCTCAATTCGCGATTTCCATTGAGATCGTTGATTTCAATCGATAAGAGGCCGTTCGAAAATTAATTACCGGCGACGATCCTTGAATTTTGTCGCACCGGCCGGTTGTTCGCCAGCGGGAATGATAAACGACGGATCGACTCGTGGAAGGCGGTAAGCATTCTCGCAGGAGGAAAGGTCGCGTTCGGGTTAGCGACGAGGTTACGAAATCCGTGAAAAAGCATTTGTTTTCTACCCTTGCGCTGTTAAATGTCGCCTGTACTTCATTCAGATTAAGTACACGCGTACAGGCGACGCGACGGGTTGCAACCTCTTCACCGCGCGTATCCATAGTGTCCTTACTCGGACGGTGAAATTTATGCCACTTAATGGACGATACTCACGCGTCGGACTTAAATAACGCGGCCTGCGTGATATATCTCCTGACTCGAGTGATTTATATTATTGTTATTGATCACTGAATTCTACATTACTTGACTGTAGTGATGTACTAATAATGATTCGGTAACTCTAAGTTTTCCTGTGAAACATTTCTCACGAATTTCAAATTAAAGAAATCCTATTTTATAGATTGTGCATTGTAATGTAAGTTCAAAAGATACTAATTGATTGTACAATTAATGCAGAAGCGTATAAGAAATCGAATAAAATGTATAGATTATATCCAATCGTGTTCAATCCTCCTATTTAATTTTCAATATAATTTCCAATCGTTCATCTGATTTAAATATTGCGCAAACATTCGGCTTGCGACATCAACCAATGTTCGTTTAAAATTTCATTTATCGATTATTCAATATTAAGGATGTTTTGGCTATACAGTCAATCCCAAAAGATTATGTACTTGGAAAAAGCTCGGAAAAAATTTTTTTCCTCAAAATTTCGAAAAATACTTCAAATAAAAGTTCTTTTTCTTCTAACTTCGATATTTAGTGAGTTACATATGATTACATGGCATTTTATTGATGTTGACAAAATCCGACCATCCCAGCGTCGAAATGGCGAACTTTTGACAAAAAATTTCGTTTTTCCTCAATAACTCCTAAACCGTTGGTCCTACAGGAAAATTGTATAGAACCTTTCTTTTAG